TCAGATGAATGCATGGCTAAAATGGATCGCATAGGAGGTTTCTCGTGTTGCTGTAGAGATTTTAAACTGATTTGGCAAGGGGATGGCGCACAGAGTGGATTTAACAGTGACAGCAAGGTCCAATCAGACATAGAAGGAATGCTGGGACAGTATCTTTTTTAAAGCAAGGAGCTTGACTGGTGAGGCAGATGAACTTAGAGCATTGATCAGCATGTGGAATATGATATTGTTGTAATCACTGAGACAAGGTTGAAGGAAGGACAGGACTGGCAGCTCAACATTCCACGGTATTGAAGTTTCAGGCACGATTGGTAGAGGAATAAGAGAGGTAGGGCATTGCATTATTGATAAAGGAAACCATCACTTCAGTAATGAGGAAGGATATCCGCAAAGGATCTTTTTATATTAAGACCATCTTAGGAGAGGTTAGAAATAAAAAAGGGATGATTATCTTTCTGGGATTATACCACAGCCCTCCAATGATCAGAGGAAGATAGAGGAGCAGAAATGTAGCAAAATCACAGAAAGAATATGAGGATTACCAGGGAAAGAGTCCTAGTAGCGACCAGAGGGGCGACCTCTGCTTGGAATCAGGTGACGTGGGTGAAGTCTTAAATGAATATTACTCATCTATATTCACAAAAGAGAAAGACATTGTAGCCAGGATTTCATTTGGGATGGTGAGGTTTTCAACCATGTTAAGATTTATAAGGAAGAGATATTAGAGGCTTTGGCTTGCATAAAGGTGCATAAAATCCCAGGGCCCAATGAGATGTATCCCAGGCTGCTTTGAGAAATAAGACAGGAGATTGCTGAAGCCCTAGTGGAGATATTTATCTCTCCACCGGCCACAGATGAAGTGCCAGCTGACTGGAGGATTGCTAATGTTGTTCCGTTGTTCAAGAAGGACAGCAGAGATATTCCAGGTAATTACAGACCACCTAATCCTATGTCAGTAGAGACGTTGTTGGAAAAAATTCTGAAGGATTGGATTAATTAATACTTGGAAAGGTAGGGATTGATCAGGGATAACCAGCATGGATTTATTAGAGGGAGATTCTGTCTGACTAATTTAATTGAGTTTTTTGAAACGTTGACTAAATATATTGATGATGGAGTGCTATTGATGTGGTTTACACGGTCTTCAGTAAGGCCTCTGACACGGCTTCACATGGAAGACTCACTCAAGAGTTAAGTGACCATGGGATCCACGGCAAATTGGCAAACTGGGTCCAAAATTGACTTCAAACAGGAGGCCAAGGATAGTGAAGGGTAGTTTTTATGATTAGAAGCCTGTGAACGGCAGTTTGGAAAGGAATCAATGCTGAGACTGTTACATTAACGACTTGGATGTGAATGTAGAGGATATAATTATAATTCTACAGATGACATGAAAATTGGTGGTGTTGTATTGGAGGAGGATGGTCTCAGGCTGTAGTCTGATATTGATCAGCTGGTGAATAGGGAACAGCAGTGGCAGATGGAATTTAATCCCGATAACTGAGGGTTGATGCATTTTAGGAGTCTAATAAGGGAAAGATATACATAATGAATGGTAGGTCCCTAGGAAGTACTGAGGAATATAAGCACCTAGGTATACAATTCATAGATCCCTGAAGGTATCAGCACAGGTAGGGTGATGAAGAAGGCATATGGGTTCCTTGCCTTCATGAGCCATGGTGTACACTATAGGAGCAATAAAGTCTTGTTACAACTTTATAAAAGATTAGTTAAGCCACAGTAGCAATCCTGTGTGCAGTTCTGCTTGCCACACAATCAGAAGGACTTGGATTTTGCCTGGAATGAAAAGTCTCAGTTATGTGGAGAGACTGGCTAGGCTGAGTTTATTTTCACTTGGAGCAGAGGAGGCTGAGGGAGTATCTGAGTGAGGTATACACATTTATGAAAGGCATACACAGTCAATTGTGAGAGTCTCTTCCCCTTGGCATGTGTCTAAGACCAAAGGGTCCTGAGAGGGTGGTGGAGGCAGGTAATGTCGCGACATTTATTAAATGCCTGAATGAGTACTTAATGTGCCAGGGCATAGTAGGCTGTAGACCAAGTGCAGGTAAATGGGATTTGTGTAGTTTTGGGTTTATTGGTCAATATATGTGATATTTGTGCTGCAGCAACACAGGGGTTTATTGGTCAATATATATGACATTTGTGCTGCAGCAACACAGGGGTCAAGGACAGTGTCTGTGCCAAATTGTCAGATGGTAAAGTTACACACATTTCATTGGAGAGGACCCAAATCCAGCCTTCTAAGATTCAGTTTACAGAATATTGATGGGCAAATGCAACAAGAATGCCAGTACTTTGGGAAGCCTGCCAGAAAACTGGAATTCACCTGATATGGAAGACTCCAGCAACAATTTGGCATAGGACTTTGTACAAAGCTTGACACAGATACTTTCCAGTATGATCAACTCTTATAAATAAGCCTGTAGAACCCAAACATGATGCAATAACCTACACACTAAAGCCCAGTGAACAGACATACCCTGAACTCACTGTAACATATTCCAGGGAATACACACTCTCAGCATTCAGTGTATCACATCCCAGGGAATATACATGTCCAGCATTCAACTGTTGTATTGCAGTGAGTACACACACTGAGCACTCACTGCAACACGTCCCAGTGAATACACACACTCCGCTCACAGTCCCAGTGTCCCAGTGAATGGACATGCTGCAGTCAGTGTGTCACTTGCCAATGAACAGAGACATCCCATTGAATACACATGCCAAGCATTCATTGTGCAATATATCATGCACTCACTGTATGCCAGTCCCAGTAAATAGAAAAAGCCCTGCACTCCCTGCAATCGTGTCCCAATGACTGTGCACACCCTGCACTCAATGTATTATAAACTGGTGCATAGACACACATAAACTCTCACTGTACAACTTCACAGTGAATGCACAAGTCCAGACACTTGAGTGTATCACATCTCAGTGAATACCCATCACTCACTGTATATATCCCAGAAAATTCGCACACACTGCCCCCACTGTATCACGTCCTATTGAATACAAACACCCAACATTCACTGTATTACTGTTCCAAACTCTCTTTGGAAGTCCAGATACAATGATGTGAACTCAGTCTAGCCAAGAGAGCCAGAGGCTTTGTCAGTATGACTGAATTTCACAAAGTCCAAGGAACCATTGACTGCACAGATTTGGACATCGAGGCTCCAAATTGCCACCAGCAGTCTTCCTCAACCAGCAGGAATATCACTCCATCAACTCATCTGTGATCACCATGAGTGAATCTTGCTGGCATGTGCTCATCTCCTGAATCATTCAAAACGTGTACATTCTCAGCCCCTTCTAGATTCCACAGTTCTTTTCTGTGTGTATTTACTGGGATGAGATACAGTGAGTGCTGGGTGTGTGTATTCAATGGGATCAGAAACAGTGAGTGTCCAGTTTGTGTATTTAATAGGAACAGAAACAGTGGGTGCTGGCTTTATGTATTTAATGGGACCGGTAACAGTGAGCGCTGGATTTGTGTATTTAATGGGATCTAATGCGGTCAGTGCTGGGTTTGTGTATTTAGTGGGACCTGATGCAGTGAGTGCTGGGTGTTTGTATTCACTGGAATGAGATACATCAATCATTGTCCTGTCCTTCACATTCTGGGCTGTGTTCTTCTGTGGAGAGCAATGGGCGTTGTTTCAGTGATTTGACTATCGAGACCACTCCCTCACTACACTTGCTGCACCGTCTGGGATCTATATCACACAAGTGCCAGGCATCCGCTTTCTGATTGAGCTGTAGCCATTCCTGCCATTCCTTCTAGTGGACTGTCACATCCCAACAGCCATACTTCCCTATTTGCAAGCATCCGAAGAGAGATAAAAGTTTGTCATTCACCCTAGCAGAGCAAAGGAGTTCATTGAGCTCCTTGTAGTTGTAGTTCTAGATCCAGTTTCTCTGCATCACCACACAGCTGCCTATCTCTGCTATCTCTAATCAAGTTTATTTGTTTCAGCGGGAAGGCCTCTTCCTTTGGTCACGATTGAAAAGCACCTCCCACTTTGCCCTAGAAGCTTTATCAGTGTGTAGCAAACTGTGGGACCACCCAGATTCTCCTTTGTGTCATGCTGTAAGGGTTTTCAGTGGCCTCACTATCTGTCAGAGGAAGGGAGGTCGAAGGTTCAGTAAGATATCCATTAGTTCTGCTAACAGAGGGATGGTTTGAGGTAACTGACTGAAGAAGTAGGTCAATGACAGGTTTTTGGAGTGACAGAGGATTTGTCTGAAGTTGATAGATAATTCACGCAATGTTTTTTGCTGGGATAATCAAAACTCACCGTAGTCACAAATTTCCTGTTCGTCAATATGTCTGCCATTTTTGGTGCTGGTGAATCTTTAAACTGGCCACTGAATCATGGTTCCGAGTCACAGCCTGCCTCACCCCATCACCAAGCCCGCTCACACATCTGCTTCCACCACTGCTAATCTTCCTGTCCCTACGCCTGCTCCTGACCCCAGCTAGATGCTCCCTACATGAAGGGCAAGTATGAAATTAGACTCACTAGTAAACACGATATCTAATATATAATTATTATCGTTACTCCATGAATACACTAAGCAAGTAACAGTCTGGTATATTTTCAATTAGCTTTTCAATTGGGCAACCTACCAGAACAGAATGTTAATCATCAAACCACTGACTGTAAGCTGACATTGCAGGAGAGGGTTGTGGGACTGCAGCTCTGTCTTTTGAATGAGATGTTAAACTCAACCTCTGTTTATCCCCGCAGGGGGATGTGAAAAATTTAACTTCCTTTGGGATGAGTTGGAATTTGGAATTCATTTTCAGAATGTGGGATAAAACCTGAAGACCACAAGACACGTGGAGCATCATGAGGGATGAGGGTTCTCAGCCACCTGCTTTGATGTGGTCTCAAGGTGGAACCTGGTGCTGAGTTTTGTTACTGTTTTAAACATTATCACTGACCTGATGACTGTCTATTTGATTTCAGGGTGCACTAGCTGGCCTTGGTGTCAGTTTCCTACTGACATTGTGGATAGGAATTGGTGGGCATGTCTATCGGCCACTACCTACTCAAACTCGACCATTACCCCTCAGCACAGCAGGATGTCTTGATATCGGCATTAACACATCACAAGCAGCGAGAGTAGGCCCCTATTTAACAACACACCATGCACCTGACCTGACCTCCAGGTAAAGTGAAAAGAACTGAGACCTTGAACAAAATGTTTATGGGTATTCATGTTCCTACAGTATTGTAGTTTGGTTCTGCTGTGGAAATTATATCAATTTGTTAAATTACATTTACCATTTGTTTTCTTTCCCTGCCTTAGGTATTCCCCTTTCTCATTATTAAAGTTGCATGTCTCTCAGTTATTTTTAAAATAGCAATTGGGTAAATCATATCTTGTCTGCACATTTGGCGCCTGGCATACAGAGAATTGTCAATAATCCTCCTACTTGCTTGTGCTCGTTAAGCAGTTTCATCAACAGAGCAGAATTGTCAGATAATTTGTTAAACCTATTAGCACTGTTCCTGTGTAATTGCCGGCTACCTTCACGTGTGTGGCTTAACACAAGGATCTCACAAATATCAGGCAGAGGCTGCTGTTTTCATGTCATGGACAGGCTCACATAACTGGGGCCACTTCACACACTTAGGAGGAGGGACAGTTTGCTGCAGAGATTGGGAATACTGGTAAGCGGTACGCACTGCCATTGAGGTTCCCTGTTGTCCCCATCATCCAAAGTGTGGATGATGGGGGGGTTGTGATGAATTAAGAAAAAGTTTTATAACCTTGACCCATGCTTAGAACTCCTTAATGGGCCTCAGTTCACCATAGGCTATCATGCACTCAGTTTAGCAACCACTGTCCTGGGTCAGGAGCACACATTCTCCTGGCTTCTTTGTTTGGGAAGGAGGCTTCCATCCCTAATCTAATTTGTGGCTCTTTTATACAATCTTATTAATCTTAGCATGGGAAAAGAATAGCAAGAGTCAAAAAGGCCCAGATTTCTCAGCACACTGAGAATGATAATTAGTGTTAATGACCGGAGCAATGGAAAACTGCACCAAATCTCCACCACATTTGCCTACCAACTCCCACCCCAAACCCCACTTCAGACCTCTTTTTAGTTTTCTGTATTTTTAATTGTGAATTGAAATTGGAAAATCACTTTTTTTAAAAAATACAAAGGATTGTTGCACTTTTTAAAAGCAAATGGCCTGCCACTCATTGTAAGTACTGTTTACACAGCTGCTTGTTCAAGTAGTAGTGGAAGTCTGGAGCCAGGATATAGGTATGAATAAAGTTTTGGCTGGCAACAAGCAGCTAATTGGTGTCTAAACTAGTGACCAGTTATCGATGACAAAGGCTTTCTGCCTGCCAATAATCATGTGATTGACATGAGATACCTATATAGCTTGGGGATTTGAACGAGATAGTCACAAGCAATCGCATCTCCATGAAGGCAGGAGCTGTCTTCTCTGCAGTAAAAGGCATCTCAAGGATAATTTCAGCAAGCCTCGTCGACAGAGACCACTAAACAGCCTTTCTAGTTTTTCCTTCCATCCATTTATCCTAAGTTCTTTTTACTTTCTGTACGTACGTAGAAGGGGAGTTTATAAGGGAGTTAGAGTCTTAACGATTAGAACTTTATGTCAACAGTTTACAATTCTTTATATATAGTTAGACTCAAATAATTTGTAATAAACTGTCATTCTCATTAAGTACAGAAACCTGATCTATGCTTTTGGTCAACCTGGATCAGAAAGACAGGGAAATGGGGGAATTCTGTGGAAATTTTAAAAACTTTGACTTTTGTAATGACTTCAGGAACAGGAGGACTTGATTTCCAGTGTGCAACCTCACTGAGACAGAACATTTCTCTGAAACCTCCTAATAAGGAGTCTCTGAGGGTACTCCTGGTCAATACATAAGAGTAAAACTTCTCTCACATCAAACTCTATCTTTGGCAGAATCCCTGGAGAAACAATGCAAAAGTCAAGGAATGAAAGTACAAGGAATAAAATATATTCTCATGAATGCCAGGCTTTGTCAAGTAGGCACAGTCCTCTGTACCATACATCTTCATTGACTGAGACATTTACAGTATAGAAAGAGGCCATTCAGCCCGTCATGTCCACACCAGTCAACAAAGATCTGACTGCAGTGATCCAGTTATCCAGCTGTTGTCCCCTGACACTGGAGGTTATGGCAACGCAAGGGAATATCGAAATATTGCTTAATGTTATGAGAGTTTATTACTCAATCATCCTTACAGGCAGTGCATTCCAGTTTCTCCTCAGTTTTCCTCTTACCCTTCTGTTTCTTTCCTTAAATCTATGCCTCCTGATTATTGACTCCTCTGCTAATGGAAAAGGTGCTTTCCTCGTCACCTTATTCCTGTCCTTTATAATCTATCAGTCCCCTATCAAACTTCACTGCTCAAAGGAAAACAAACCGCAGCTTATCCAATCTTTCTTCATAGCTCAGACACCCCAGCCACGGCAGCATCCTGGTAAATCTCCTCTGCACCCTCTCTAGTGCAATCACATCCTTCCTATAATCTGTTGACCAGAACTGCATTCAGTACTCCAGTTGTAAGCTAACCAGTGTTTAATACAGCTCCAGCATAAAGTTCCAGTATAGACTCCCAGCTCTTGTGTTCCAAATTTCAACTAATAAAAGCAAGTATCCCATATACCTTCATAATACCTTAACTGCTTGTCCTGCTATCTCAGGGCTCTGTTAGTGTAGACACTGAGGTCCCTTTGATCTTCAGTACTTTCCAGGGTCCTATCGTTTATAGTGTAACCCTTTGGCTTGTTAGCCCTCCCCAGGTACATTACCTGACATTTTTCCAGGTTAAATTCTATTTGCCACTACTTTACCCAGCTGACCAGTCCCTTGATATCCTCCTGCAGCCTACCACCTGAGCAGTTTCTGTTTCATCTGTGAATTTCTTGATGATTCCCCATCCATTTAATTCCAAGTCATTAATGTACATCACAAACAGCAAGGGCTCCAGCACTGATCTCTGTTGAACCCCACTGGAAACAGATTTCCAGTCACAGAAACATCCCTCTGCAATCATACTCTGCTTTCTGCCTGTCAGCTAGTTTTAGATTTAAAGTGCAACTTTGCTTTGAATCCTGTGAACAGTTATTTTGTTGACCAATCTGCCATGAGGGACTTTATCAAAAGCCTTACTAAACATTGGAGTGAGCCATTCAGCCCCTTGAGTGTTCCACCACTCAGTGAGATCATGGCTGATCTGTGGTCTAGTTAACTATATATGCCTGCCTTCAGCCCATATCCCTTAACACCTTTGTCAAAAAATTATCTATCTCAGATTTAAAATTAATAACTGATCCGGCATCTGCTGCTATTTATGGAGGAGAGTTTCAAATACCGATCCCACATTTTGTATAGAAGTGCTTCCTGACATCTCTCCTGAGAGCGGGTCTGGGAATCAGGCTGGGAAGTCGGGGTCTCAGGGAAGTTTTTGGATCTCCCATCTTGGAGTGAGGCCTTGGTCTGGAGTAAATCTGGACAAATGAAAAAGTGAACAACCGGTGGGTTACCAAGGGAAAGGTTTAGAGGGGTAGGGGCCAAACACAGGTAAATGAGACTAGTTTAGTTTGGGAAACTTAGTCGGCATGGATGAGTTGGACTGAAGGGTCTGTTTCGTGCTGTATGACTCCATGAGCTGTCTGGGACTAATTCTCAGACTAAAGTCCATGTAGACCACGTAAAATGCATTACCCTCATCAACACATCAGATTACCTCCTCAAAATTCAGTCAAATTTATCAAACATCATCTTCAAATCCATGCTATCCATAATTAATATGTGTTTCTCCAAGTGCAGATACATTCTTTCCAACAACTTTCCCACCATCGATGATAGACTAATTGGTTTGTAATTTCCTCATTTATCCTTTCCCCACATTTTTAATAAGGAGACAGTATTAGCTGTCTTCCAATTCTCTGACACCTCACCTGTAGACAGAGAAGATTTTGAAATTACTGCCAGGGCCCTGATATCTCCTCTGTTGCCTCCCTAAATGGCATTGGATACACCTTATCTAGGCCAACAGATTTAGATTACTAAAACCACTCGTACTTCCTCTCTCTCACTGTTAATTTCTTCTGATATTTCACATTCCTTCACCCTGATATCCACACTGACAGCATCCTTTTCTATTATGAAAACAAACATAAAGTATTCATTGAAGACTGTGCCCATATCTTTTGCGTCCCTACACACATTGTCTTTCTGGTCCCAATGGAACCTTCTCTTTCCCTAGTTAAGCACTTTCTCTTTATGTATTATAAAAAAGCTCTTTGGGTTTTCCTTAATTCCACCTGCCAGTGCTTTCTCATGCACATTCTGAGCTTTCTCAATTTCCTTTTTAAGATCCCACCTGCAATTTTTATGCTCCTTTCAGGACTGTGCCTTTGACATCTAGGGTTCTTCAGTCTTGGTCCCACCCTTTGTGTTTATGGGAACATATGTGCTCTCTACTGCTCTGACACAATTTGATCTGCAAGTATCCACTTCCAGTACACTTTGATCAAATTATATCTTGCCTTCATAAAATTAGCCTTTCCCCAGTGTAGAATTTATATTCCTGCCTATTCTTAACCTTTACTATCATTATCCTAAACCTAACTAAGATTTTAGTGACTATCTCCAAAATGCTCCCCCAAAGACTTTGTATTCTCCATCCCTAATTGTCATTGAGAAACTAGTGCTGAGCTGCCTTTTTGACCTAATGATGGAGTAAAGGTTGTTGATGAAGTAGCTGAGCATGGCTGGGCCTAGGACACTACCCTGAGGAATTCCTGCAGAGATGTCCTGGAGCTGTTTTGACTGACCTCTAAATAATCACAACCAATTTTCAAACAGCAGAGGGTTTTCGCTGTAATTTCCATTGACTCATTTTGCTAGGGCTCCTTGATGTCACACTGTCAAATTTGGCCTTGATGTCAAGAGCAGTCACTCTCATTTCATGTCTGAAATTCAAAATTTTTTGTCCATGTTAGTAGCAAGGCTGTAATGAAGCCAGGAACTGCGTGGCCTTGAAAGAACAAAAACTGGCATCAGTGATCAGGTTATTACTGAGCAAGTGCTGCTTGCTAACATTTTTGATGACACCTTCCATCACTTTACTGATAATCAAGAGTAGACTGGTAATTGGCCAGGATTAGTTTGTTCTGCCTTTTGCTTACAGGACATGGCTGGACAATTTTCCTCATTGCTAGATAGATGCCAGTGTTATAGCTGTACTGAAACAGGGTTCTGGAGCACATGTTTTCGTTGATGGAATACTGTTTGAGCCCAGAGTCTTGCCTGTACCCAGTGCCTTCAGTTGCTTCTTGATATCAAGTGGGGTGAATTACATTGCCTGAATTAGCATCTGTGATGTTGGAAACCTTCAGAGGAGGCTTCATCTACTCGGCAGTTCTGACTGAAGATTGTTGTAAATTCTTCAGCCTTATCTTTTGCAGTGATGTGCCGGGCTCTCCCATCTATGAGGTTGGGGATATTTGTGGAGCCTCTTCCTCCAGTGAGTTGTGTAATTGTCCACCACCATTCATGCCTGGATGCGTCAAGAATGCAGAGCTTAGATCTGATCCCTTGATTGTGAAAATGCTTAGCTTTATTCATCATATGCTGTGGCATGCAAGTAGTCCTGTTTAGTAGCTTCACGAGCTTGACACCTCATTTTAAGGTATACCTTCTACACTCTCCATCGAACCACAGTTGATCACCTGCCTTGATGGTAATGGTTAAGTTGGGGATATGCTGGACCATGAGACTGAAATTGTGTTGGATTACGATTCTGCTGCTGTTGATAGCCCATTGCAGCAATTGGATGCCAGTCTTGAGTTGCTAAATCTGTTCGAAGTCATATTCCATTAAACGCGCTGATAGCGCCGCAAAAGACAATTAAAGGTTTTCTCAAAATGAAGAGAAGGCTTTGTCTCCATGGGACTCTTGTGGTGATCATTCTCACTGACACTGTTATGGACAAATGTATCTGCAGTAGACAGTTTGGTTAAATGAAGTCATGTATGTTTTTCCCTCCTATCAGTTGCCTCACCACTTGCCACAGACCCAGTCTAGCAGAAATGTCCTTTAAAAGTTGACCAGCTCAAGTAGTGTTGCTGCTGAGCCGCTGTTGGTGATGGACATTGAAATCTCCCACCCAGAGTATATTCTGTACTCTTGCCACCCTCAGTGCTTCCTCCAAGTACTGTTCAGTATGGAAAAGAACATATTCACCAGCTGAGGGAGGGCACTGTTCATAATCAGCAAGTTTCTTTGCCCACGTTTCACCTGGTGCTATGAGACCTCATGGTGTGTGGAGTCACTGTTGAGGAATCCATGAGTAACTCCCTGCCAGTGTGTACAACTGCACTGCACTTCTGCTGGTGCTGTCCTACTGGTGGGACAGCGCATTCCAATGATGGTGATGGTACTATCTAGGACTTGAACAGTAAGGTAAATTCACAAGTAGACTGTACCAACCTGTTGCTTGACTAGGCAGAGAGACAGTTTTGCCAATTTTGGCAGTAGCCCCCAGATGGAGGACTAGGTAGGTTTCATAGGGCTGTGTTGGTGTTGATGTTTCCAGTGCATTACTCAATGCCAGGATCACTTCTTGGGACATTTTAAGAGTTTGATACAATGGAGTGGCTTGCTTAGCCATTTCATAGGATAGTTAAAAGTGAACCACATTGCTATGGGTCTGGAGTCAGATATAGGCCAGACCAGATAAGGATGGCAGATTTTCTTCCCAGACTGGATTAGTGAACCACAGCAGCAATGGTTTAATGGCATCATTGGATTTTTAGTCGATTGAATTTTGACTATCTGCCTTGATGGGATTTGAACCCAGGTCCATACACCATTACCTGAGACTCTGGATTGCTAGTCCAGAGAGAATGACTATTGCCTCCTCTGATTTTAGCCCATACCGAATAAGCACAATCCTGTGTATCCGAAATTTTCATCACTGCTGCAAAGCAGCCATGTTAGAGGCTTGTGTGTTATCAGTGTATAGCAAAGAAAGTTTTAAAATATGAATTATCTCTGTAAGGTTTTTAAACTGTGTTTATGGTCTAAATTTGAATCAATATCCAGTCACAACAGACAAGCGAGAAAAAGCCATCAGTTACCTATTGGTCTCCTGAGACGTCACACTTTAGTTTAGTTGAAGTAGCTCTGCCTCTGGCCTATCTGTTCTGGATCTCTCAGCTATCGCTGCTCCCTTTAACCCAAATGCCACTGCTCCAGAGGCGCACACAGCTCAACTGTCAGTCTGCTTGCTTCTGGGTTCTCACCTTGTTAGCTCGTCTTGGTGACTCAGTTTGCTCAATCAGGATGATTTGTTGCCTCCCTGATGCCAGGGTCAGGGATATCACTGAACGGCTGCAGAACATGCTGAAAGGGAAAGGGCAAAAAGATTGAAGTAGATATTGACACCAATGACATAGGTATGAGGTGCTGCAAGTACAATTATGGGAGCTAGGAAGTAGGTTAAAATAACAGGACCAAAAGGTAATAATCTCTGGATTACTTCAGGTCCCCCATATGCATGAGGAGAAATAGGAGGTTAGAAAGCTGAATGGAGAGGTGCTGCAGGAGGGAGAACTTTAGATTTCTGGAATATTGTTTTTGGGGTTGGTGGGACTGTACAAGGCAAATGTTTGGATCTGAACACACTGGGACCAGCATCCTTGTGCAGCGGTTTGCTTGTGCTGTTGAGAGGGTTGAAACTAACTTGGCAGGGGGCTGGATTCCAGAGAGAATGTTCAGCAGGAGGAGCTGCACAGCCCAAATTAATAGAGACAACAAATGAGTCAAGAAGACAAAGACATTGTAGGCCAGTTGAGGCACAAGGGAGTTTTGCAAGGTTGGATTGCAGGGAACTTGAAAGTGCATGGTAAAGTTAAGTCAGCATGGCTTCGTTAAGGGGAGATCATGCCTGACAAATCCGTTGGAAGTATTTGAGGGAGTAATGAGCAAGTTAGACAAAGGACAGCCAGTGGACGTAATGTATTTGGATTTCTAGACAGCCTTTGCTGCACAGGAGGCTGCTAAATAAGATAAGATGCCATGGTGTTAGGGGCACGGATAGAGAATTGGCTGACTGGCAGAAAGAAGAGGATAAGGGAGTCTTTTTCAGAATGGTAGCTGGTGACTAGTGGAGTTCTGCAGGCGTCAGTGTTGGGACCACAACTATTCATATTATACATTAACAATCTGGATGAAGGAACTGATGGCATTGTTTGCAGATGACACGAAGATAGGTGGAGGCACAGGTAGTGTTGAGGAGGCAGGGAGGATGCAGAAGAACTTTGAGAGGCTCAGAGAGTGAGCAAAGAAGTGGCAGATAGAATACAATGTGGAAAAGTGTGAAGTTATGCACTTTGGTAGGAAGATTAAAGGCGAAGATTGTTTTCTAAATGGGGAAATGCTTCAGAAATCTGAAGCATGAAGCAACTTCAGAGTCCTAGTTTAGGATTCTCTTAAGGTTAACACGCATGTTCAGTTGGCAGTTTAGAAGGCAAATGCAATGTTAGCATTTATTTCAAGAGGGCTAGAGTACAAGAGCAGGGATTTATTTATGATGCTCGAAAAGGCTCTGTTCAGAGTGCATTTGGAATATTGTGAGCAGTTTTGGTCCCCATATCTATGGAAGGATGTGCTGGTGTTGGAGGAGATCCAGAGGAGGTTCACAAAAATAATTTTGGGAATGAAGGGCTTGATGGTCATATGAGGAGTGGTTGATGACTCTGGGTCTGTACTTAATGGATTTTAGAAGGATGAGAGGGTTCTCATTGAACCATTCAATATACTGAGAGGCCTGGATAGACTGGACATGGAGAAGATGTTTCCACTAGTAGGTAGTGGCTAGTTTCCACTCGTACTCAACGGCACAGCCTCTGAGTGAGGGAACAGCTGTTTCTGAGATGAAGAGGAATTTCTTCAGATAGAGGGTGGTAAATCTGTGGAATTTATTGCCACAGAGGGCTATGGAGGCCAAGTCAATGAGAACCTTTCAGGCAGACAGGTTCTTTATTAGTAAAGGGATCAAAAGTTAGGGGGAGCAGTCGTGAGAAAGGTGGCGAGGAACATATCAGCCATGATTGAATGCTGGAGCAGACCTAATGGCCTAGTTCTGTTCTTATATGTTATGGTTTTATGGTCTTATGTTGGTGGTAGAGGGACATCCACAGTGATGTTAGGAAGGGAGTTCCAGGATTTTCACCCAGTGACACTGAAGGAATGGCAATACAGTTCCAAGTCAGGATAGAGTGTGTTGTAAAGGGGAACTTGCAAGTGATCATTTATTCACGCATCTACTGCTCTTGTCTTTCTAGGTGGAAGAGATCACAAATTGGAAGGTAGTTTAGCATGGAGCTCTGGCAAGTTGCTGAAATTCACACACGTTAGAACGACACTGTGTGTCACTGGTGGGATGGTGAATGCATAAGATGGTGGATAATATTTGATCCCAAAACTTTACCTTCAGAAGATTTTACTCTACAAGTGACATTTCCATTTCCCAAATTTATTATTTCGATTGAGACTACCAATTTAGTCCTGAACTGTGTTATAGATTGAAATATCCATACTTAGAAGATGTGCAAGCAGCAGGCAAGTGGGCTTTAGATTTGGAACAGCAGTAAACACTCCTCGATCTAAGCTCCCTTTTATCAACAGTCTATTTCACAGTAAAACACCATATGATTTTTGCCATACTTCAATACCAATCTTAACTTAAACATTCCTGAAAGGAGACTAGATTTTGAAGCTATTGGTCTTGTAGTCATCAGAAGGCTTTAATTCCTTGTTTCCTTTTTGCATTGTTTTAAGTTCTGTACTATCAAACATTTATTGACAACCTTCAACTGTGTTCTCATTTTCAATTTCAGACCAGCAATTGCAGACACATTGTATTCAATCTCGTATCTTTACTTGAGCCCAATAGGAACTGTGACTGTCGTGATTGTTGGTTTGATAGTCAGTTTGCTGACAGGTTAGTGTTTACTCTATGAGTTTATCAAGGTTTAATAGGCAGGTGAGATGCTAACAGTATTTTAAAGAGCCATAATGCAATATTAGTTTCTGTGCAATAAAGTGTAAATTAGATTGAGCAAAGAGCATGTTCTCTTACACAGCTCCGTCCAAATATGAGCTGCCGCCCATCCTGAATAGGAATGAGTTTTGGCATCCTCACTTTGCAGCAGATCCCTACATAATGAATTTAGGGATCCATATTTTGCAGCAGATGCCTATCAGAATGGGTTTGGGGATCCACGCTGCAGTTGATCCCTGCAGAAATGAGATAATGTTTCCACACTTTGCACCGGATCCCCATGAGAAGGAGTTTGAGGACCCATACTTTGCAGCTGATCCCTCTGGGAACTTTGCTGGGAATCCACATTGCAGTTGATCCCTAAGGGAATGAGACTGTGGGTTCACACTTGACAGCAGAATAAGAATGAGTTTGGGGATCCATCCTTCAAGTTTCCAACATTGACACAATGTATCGCTGAAAAAACCAAGCAGGAGTTTGAGTTTCCTCTGACAGTAGTCAAGCTGGCTACTGACATCAAATGCATATGTTTATTTAAGATCTACAAGTTTTCAACCTGAAACATTAATTTTGTTTCTCTCTCTGCAGATGATACTGAAGATTTCCAGCATTTTCTCTTTTTATTTCAGATATCCAGTATCTGCTGTACTTTGCTTTTGCATCAGTGTTGTTTTTAATCTTCACAAACTGAAATTGACTGAACCTTCTCAGACATTATTTATGTAAAGTTAGTTTAACTGAAGCACCAATTTCATTAAAAATAGTCATCACAGCACAATTCCTGTGGCTGTCCTTACACTTCAGATATTGTGAAAGTTTTGTTGTGAAGATGATGCTGTCTGAAAATCAGAAAGTATCTGGTCAGAGTTTGCCAGAGCTTCTCTTTAGCTGTTTGTTACACTGTGACAGAATTACTCTGCAAGTCTCTTCCCACCCCTGAATAGTTTAAATCAAACTGATCTCTGGCCTCTAGATATTTTAATCAGCCAGGTGTGTGGCACAGGTGGGATATGAACCTGAACGGTTCTGGCCCAGAGACAGGGACACTAATACTGTGCCACAAGAGTCCTCATTTGGCCTATAGATATTTTCTAATTAAACTGTTCAAAATGTGATCACACACCTCTGGATCAGATAGGACTTGAACCCAGGCCTCCTGGCCCTGAGGTAGGGAAATTACTACTGCACCACAAGAACCTTCTAAATCATACTGCACCAGGTATTTCCAGGCAGTGTCCAATACAGGTACTAACCAGACCTGAATTTGCTTAGCATCTGAGATCAGTCATTTTGAGATTACTGTGGCCGTAGGCCCTGTTTAGCCTCCATTAGTGATGGTGACTGTGATCACCTTTTTGCTCTGACAAGAATCAGCCCTGAAATCACATAACATTTTCTTCAATCTCAGTCAGTTTTCAGAGCGGTTGTTTTTGTCATGTGATTGATGTGCACTGAATCTGCTACTGATTCCCATAGGAGGGAAGCAGAACGTGGTGGACAAGAAGCTGCTGATGACTTACAAGGATACACTATGCTACACCTACTATGTCAACAGAAGTCTGCGTTCTCTGGTATTTGACGATGATTAGCATAGATAAAGGATTGGCTAATTATTAGAAGACAGAGAATTAGGATAGTGGGGTAGTTTCAGGATGGCTCCTGTAACTAGTGGAGTGCCATAGGGATCAGTGCTGAGGCCACAATTATTTAAAATATGTAGTGACTTGTTTGAGGAATGTGAATGCCAAGTTTGCAGATTACACACAAATAGGTGGGAAGGCAAGTGGTGGCATATAGATATGTTTGAGTGAGTAGGTAAAACTTGGTAAATGGAATACAATGTGAAAAACTGGGAGACAATGCATTTTAGTTGGAAGAAGAGAAGAACTGAATATTATTTAAATAGGGAAAGACTGCAGAAAGCTGCAGCCCAGAGATTTGGGAGTTCTTGACATAAATCACAAAAAGCTACCATCCAAGTTCAGGAGGTAATGGGGAGCCAAATGAAATGTTGGCCTTGATTTCAAAGGGAATGGAGTATAAAAATAGGGAAGTCTTGCTAAAACAGTGCCAGGCACTTGACCACACCTAGAATGCTGTGAACAGTTTTGGTCCCCTTATCTAAGGAAAGATACGTTCTGGAATTGTAGGCAGACCAGAGAAGGTTCATTAAGTTGACCAGAAACTGAACTGGCCATATAAATACAGTGGTTACAGAAGCAAGTCAGATGCTAGAAATCCCATAACAGTGCAGCTCCAACACGATTCAAGAAGCTTGACACCAACCAGGACAAAGTAGCCTGTTTGACTGGCACCAGATCCACAAACATCCTTTCCCTCCACCACTGACACTTAGTAGCAATAGTGTGCACTTTGTTCTTGTTCCTGATTTACAGCATCCGCAGTTCTTTCGCTTTTTATTTACCATCTGGAAGTTTCACTTCAAGCCACTCACCATCCAGAACTGTAAATATATTGCCATTCTTTCACTGTTGCTGGGTCAAAACCCTTGAAGTCCGTCCCTAACAGCATTCTGGGTCTATCTACAGCATATTGATTGCAGTGGGTAAAGAAGGCAGTGTACTGCCACCACCTTCTCAAGGGCAACAAGAGATGGGCAATAAATACTGAACCAGCTAGAAACACCTACATCCAATGAGTAAATTACAAAAAAAAAGTTAATACCAGGTATGGTGGGATTTTCTTATGTGGAGAGGTTGAGTAGGCTGAGCTTATATTCATTAGAGCTTAGAAAAAAATGAAAGGTGACCTTAATGAAATAGATAAGATCCTTAGGAGTTTAGACAGAGTAGATGCGGTGAGACTTTTTCCCCTTTTGAGTGAGTATGGGATCAGAGGGTATAATTTTAGAGTAAGGCATTGCCCGTTTAAGGCTGAGATGAGGAAGAATTTCTCCTTTTGAGTGCAGTGAATCGATGGAATTTATTACCAGGGAGAGCTGTAGAGGCTGGGTCATTAAGTGTATTCATGGCTGAAATAGTCAGATACTTAATCAATAAGGGAATCGGGTGTTATGGTAATAAGACAGGAAGATGGATTTGAGGATTATCAAATCAGTCATAATCTCATAGAAGGGCAAAACAGACTCAATGGGCTGAGTGGCCTACCTCTGCTCCTACATCTTATGGTCTTGAGGATTTATGCATGAGAATGACAATACTGTTTCAACTGTGGTTTGGGTATTGATGGATATTTTAGACCAAATGAGAAATTCTCTTGTGTTTAGTGTCACTGGTTTCACATAACTGTGTGCCTTATGTTCTGGAATAGGCCTTTACTCCACAGTCTGGAGTGGCGTTCGGTTAAGGGGCTGGGAATGGGTATTGTAAGTGAATAGACTAATGAATAGAGTGAATTACTAACTACTTTATAATACTCCTCATAGCAGACAATAACAAGATACTCCACAGTCTTGCTGGTGATGTGTTAAATCCACTTTGCAAGTGAAATTCTCTAGTCAGTGCTGTGTTTAAAAAGATCTTCATTCTTGAAGATTGATATCCTCAGCAAATCTCCCAGCTGTGCAAGTTTCAGTTTGTCCCTTCTCAGCTGAACAGGAAGCCAGAAAATCTCTGTGCCTGAGTATTGAGGTACACAATAAGGGACACAGGGTTTTCCAATTGACACAGTTCAGAATTCTGCGAGCGGCTGAAAAGCAATTCCAGTGCTAGTTTTCCAAGTGCTCCATCAGCAAAAATAACAAAGCAAAGTTGATGTCCTCACTAGCAAATCAAATCTCGAATGGGTTATCCACTTCCCATCTAAGTCAGCCCCAGGCCAGAGATCTGTTATCTTACGGTGAGAGATACTCAAGCATATTTAGAGAACAGCCATAGGACTGTAAAAACTTGGGCATTTCTACCTAGAAATGACAGAGGGATTCTTAGTAAGTAATGTACCAACTCGTGAGAAATTGAGTTATGTCTAATATAGCCAGAACACTGCTCTAAACCAAATCATTTCCATTGGACAATGAGAAATCAACTCAAATTGAGAATTCTTTTTTCCCATGAGGAGTGCAGAACATGTGAAATGAACATTTGGGTGGAAACATTAATATGAAATACTTGGAATGTAAAACAGCTGGATATTTGTAATCAACCTGTCTCAGACATGTTGTGACACACCTCTGGAACATGTGGAACTTGAACCCAGACCTCGTGACCCAGATGTAGGGACACTACCACTACATCATCACAGCCCTGAACTAAAATTTATATTTCCTTGAGTTTCTCCTAAGTGGTCACCAAAACTTTTTGAAAAATTAGTTGTGCTGACATACTGGTTGATCAGTTGAGAGAAGAACCTGAGGAAGTTTTTGGCTGTATGTATTTGCAGAGTAGATTCCCATACACAAAACTAGATGGAACTGTTATTTCTGAAAGACTGTCAATTGATACTGTGTGTGCTGTTTTGACTCTTGATGTTGTTCCTTTAGATGTTGCCCCCTCGGGACCAACAGGATGTGGTTGCCAAGGAGGAGCTGGAAGCAATAGCTGACACAGAAAAAGTCACCCCCATATTCACTGACCAGGAGCCCACATCCACTGCCCAAGAGCCTGCATCCACTGCCGAAGAGCCCACATCCACTGAACATGTGCCTGATTCTGAGCAACAGAATCAGGAATCCACAACAGAGTTATAGTTAGCATGTGGGCTTTCTTCGATAAAAGTACAGTGAACAAGTCATCGGACTTTGGAGATACCTAACACAATGGCTTAATGTCTGTGTAAAATTGCCCTGTACACTACTCCATCGATCACTGGACCAGAAATAACGTAAAGCTGTTCTTATCACCCCTCCCAGTACTCCTATTTCCCAAACTGCAGTGTAAATGGATTAATTTTTCTATTGCACTTCCAGTCAAATCAAACTAGCAGAAACTGCTCTGAAGATTTTTTACGGTTATAACTTTAAACATCTTAATGTCTGTGTTTTTAAAATTTCTGATGTTATTTGCATTACTTGGGGTCAGTGTCAATGTCTACTCCCATAAGCAATCCTCATTCTTTTTCTCCACATGACTGTGACAAGATCACAAAGTCAAACTGAGAACTTGTGACTGTATTCCAAATTACTGGTGTATGAATTGCAGCCACATGCCATAT